GGTTTAATGTCACGTCAACAACAGTAGAAAGTACACTTTCCGCTTGGCCACGGTCATATATGCCACGACAAATCCTCTCCTTGAGTGTTCTGACCTTAATCGGAATACACCTCCTCTATTTCCTCGTCGCTTCCTTCTCGTATTATTTCATCTTCAACCACGACATGATGTTACATCCTCGATTCCTACCTAATCAAGTCAGGAAGGAAATTCAGACTAGTTTGAAGGCTTTCCCTCTTATGACGCTGTTGACGCTGCCCTGGTTTTTGGGTGAAGTTCGTGGATGGTCCAAGTTATACACGAATGTGGACGATATGGATATGAGTCTGATAGGCGACTTCGGTGGATGGGGAAGTACTGTATACATGGTGTTCAGCGCAGTGTGGTTCCTGGTATTCACAGACAGCTGCATCTACTGGATACACCGTTTGTTACACCATCCGCTGCTGTATAAGCCTCTGCACAAGCTGCATCACAAATGGATCAGTGAGTCATTCGCTGATACAATCTTTATCATTTCAGTGGTCTGACCTATTCATTCTTTAGTTCCTACTCCGTTCGCATCACACGCGTTCCACCCTGTAGATGGATACCTCCAGTCTGTGCCCTATCATCTATACGCAGTCCTCTTTCCTATCCACCGACTCCTATTCCTTGGACTCTTTGTTGCGGTCAATTTCTGGGCCATTTTTGTAAGTGAACCACTTTGAGAAATCCTCGGATTCACGGACTCAATCACTCCATACTTTGCAGATCCATGATTCGGACATGATAACTGGGAACCCACTCGAGAAAGTCATCAACGGTCCTGCTCATCATACCTTACACCACATCTACTTTACGGTCAACTACGGGCAGTATTTCACTTGGATGGACCGTGCAGGAAGTTCGTATCGACACCCTGACGCATCTCTAGACCCGCTGCTGGAAGTCCAGATGCAGGCGAGGGCAGCAAGAGAAGGAAAGACCAAGTCGGATTGATGATCTGTGCTCGGACAGTGGGGTATTTATCAAGGGAAATCTAATGACACGCACAACAGGAGCGCTAAAAGTCACATGTATATATCTTTGACGAACCAATATCGGTCGTCTCTTAATTTACACGTTTACCTATGTATTCCTAAATATTTCACTAGATGCTTGCAATTAAACTACACTCGCGGAACCAAGCTTGACTGGATGCAAACTATAGTAAGTACCAACACATGAGTAATGACCTGACACAGACCTGACACCATCTAATCTCAACATCAACAAGCAATGCCACGCTACGGTTCGTGGGACGCGAACTTACACGTATTTCCAATACCATTTCGTCGCTGGACCAAGATGAGGACGCGTTCTCAGTCCAGTTTTTCATTCTCCTGCTCACTCTTTACACTTCTTTTGGTAACTATCGCTACATTGGTTCATACAAGCAGTGCAGGCAAGTCTGCGTCAAGCACCGGTGACTCTGTGCTCGTTATCCTCGAGCCGGCGAAGAAGGCGGAGTACAGTATATTTCTTAACGGCCTTGAAGGTGAGTTATGTAAAATAATACCTTGAAGGTCGCTGACTTGGTTGAAGACAAGGGGTACACAGTGACAATTCGTGCACCGAAGGAGGAACAGCCATTACTTATTGAAGCCGGTCTACCAAACTTTTCGCATGTAGTCTTACTGGCCTCTGACACCAAAAGTCCGTACCACGTCTGCTCTATTCTACCGGATTCCAACTCATGCGTCATCTCTAGATTTCGCGAAAGATATCAGCCCACAATCCCTCGTCCAACTTCTCTCCCTTGGCACAAACCTCGTTCTAACCCTCGGTTTGAAACAAAACTTGCTTACTTCCCTCGCTCCAGAGTTCTCTCTGCTTCTCCCACCACCGGCAACCCCACTTGTCAGCTATTTCCCAGAGCGCTCTGATCCACCAAGTATCATCCCAATCGACGTATCCAGCCAATCTATTCCCAACGATACGTTCTCCGTCTTGTCTTCTCAGGTAACAGGAAAAGTGTGGTTTTCTGGGACAGCATTCGCATTAAACTCTAACCCTCTCCTCTTTCCTATTCTTCATGCCCCACTCGAAAGTTTCGCTGCCGATTTAAGTGACGCTAGCGGTCGGGTGTCTGACGCGCTTGCCGATGCATCTGAAAAAGGCGGCGAAGGCCTCTGGGCCGGCTCCTCCCTCTCCGTCGTTGCTGGATTCCAGACTCTCATTGGCGGAGGCACCGGCCATGGTGCTGACGCTGGTCTAGGAGAAGACAATCAAGCCCGTGCGGTCTGGGTTGGCGGATCATCTCTCTTCTCCGATGAATTTGCCAAGAAGAAGGTCGTCGAAAAGGTTCAACAGGAGCGAGGGATGAAGGTCGTGGAGAACCCTTCAGGAAACACGCAGGCTGCTTCGGAGATTGCAGGCTGGGCATTCCAGGAGAGAGGAGTGCTGAGGATCGATGAGGTTACTCATCACAAAGTCAACCAGACGGAACCGTTAGAGATGTATACTAACAACGATGAGATTGTGCGTTTTTTTGCTACAACCGCTACCTGTCAGCGATACATAATTCCAATAGGTCTACACCATCCGTATCTCATCGTTCAATCCTTCAACTAGAAAATGGGAACCTTATTCGGGATTGAAGGATTTGCAGCTTGAATTCACAATGCTTGATCCTCACGTTCGGATTGCACTGCCTCCCGTCAGCGGAAAATCAGGTGGGTTTCCTTTCTTCACCTCGTTACATAGTTACATTCTCATGAAACCATCAGGTGTATACTCAACAACGTTCCGTGCTCCAGACCGACACGGCGTGTTCAAATTCGTCATCTCTTACAAACGCAAGGGCTTTACCCACTTAATCCACACACTAAGTATTCCCGTAGTCCCACCACGACACGATGGGTACCCTAGATTCTTGAGCGCTGCGTGGCCTTATTATGCAGGTGCAATAAGTACGAGCGTTGGGTTCCTCGTGTTTTGCGCGATCTACATAGCTGGAGAGGCCAAGGAAGAGAAAGAGAAGAGGAGTAAAAAGGAATAGAGAGAGTTCAAACTTGTACGTAGCATGATACTCGAAGAATATTGATATTCATGGCTTCGATACTGAACTTGTATATCCTCTCCAAGTTTTCATTGCAAGTAATTTATTCTTTTTTTTAGTCGTCGCCGTGGTCCATGAGATATGCTTAACAAGACTTTGCCTCAATACTTCCAGGTATTTGAAAATCTCCTTGTTATATGAAGAATGCCACTGCTATGTTGCAGTAGACGGGCATGTGACTGAATGGTAAATCGACGTGATAATTTTTTCACGGATTGTCGGTCGTTCAATATTGTGTTATCCGCAAGGAGATCCAAGCCTTCTGCTTAATTTCTAGATTTCAAACCTCACGACAGCGCCGAGTACGACGGGTGAACGGACGAAGTCACCTCTAAGTAATCGTCTCTTCAGTAACAGGGTGATCATCAGCGAGTAACCATTATCTCTTAAGAGGATAGAATACATCCTATAGAGCGATCATGGTTTCTTCGTTTCTCTCCCTTCTATCAGCACTAAGCAGCACCATTTCTTTGCAAATCCCTCAATAAAACGCATTTCTTCTCTCTTCCAGATGTTCCCATTGTTTCTCCTCTTCGCAATATTTGCATCATGCGTTGGTAAGTACTAGGTCTGTAAGGGCATTTGCAAATCTCAATAAAGGCAAACTCTAAGATTTGGTCGCATTTCCTATTCTGTCTAGAAAACACTTTTGCTCAGAGCAATAATGTGACACTCTGGCAGTTTGGGGCGCATCGTTTAGCAGGCGGAGGATTTACTGCCCCATTACTCCCTATCGGGACCCCCAGCGATGGTCTGTCGACCACATTTCTTTATGAAGTTCTGGATCCTGTCACAACGTTGGTGACCGAATACGATTCTCCTGTGCTCGCAGTCTCTGTTACATCTGGTGAGTGCTCGTACTTATTCCTCCGCAACGCCAGATAAAAATTGAATAGTGACTCTCACCGTAGTATTACGAACTATTGTTGCTTCCGCCTCCGGATGGATCGAGAGTTTCGGTCCAGGTACTGAAATCCGATGTAACTTCGTTAGTTCAGACATAGGCGAATGCTTCGATGCAACCCAAACAGATACTGGGGCACCTACTCCTGTTGTGCTTGGAGTGGCAGCAACTGTTACAAGCACGCCAAATGAAAACACGCTCTTTTCAACTACATCGGTGACACCGCCGACCTCAAATTCTATTCCCTCACCAACAGGTACCATCTCTACCACTTCAACGACTTCCCGAAAATCGTCACTGGGAGCAATTGTTGGCGGTACAATTGCGGGAGTCTTGGTCGGATGTCTATTTGTGATTTTGACATTCTGGCTGCTTCGACGGCAACGTCGTTCACGGTCGATATCGGACCTTGAGAAGACCAGTGGATCTCCTGAGGGGTGAGTAATGACCAGGCCGAAAACACTTACATCGCTATCAAGGTTGATGAACCATCTACTATAGCTCGTTTTATACAAGACCTCGGCCGTATGCTGTCACTGTGCCAGCAGTTCGGAAAGATCTTCCTCCTTTAACCTCTCGTGTAGTTCCTTCTGCTGGTGTTCAGACGAGCACTGAAAACTCGATATCAGAGGTACGACTTGGCGCCATATCTCCATTGTGTCTGACGTTTGAATAATGTTTACGTATATAGGCAGCGAATAGCGACCACCTTGAAGAGTCCACCAGAGCAGATTTGCGGAAACAAACCCAAAGTGCACGCGAAGAACTTCGCTCCCTTCATCAGGCGTTCCTGAACACCTCAACGGACATATCAATGCGGGGTGGGATGATCAATATATTGGAACGATTGAGGCGGTTAGAGGAACAAGCATCGGTGAACGAGTCACCACCAGCCTACATATACTGACTTCCTTGGGTGGCATAACATAGATAGACACTGAGCTCAGACACGTACTTGGTGACTCCAATTAAAGAGATTCAGAGAGTTTGTAAACATGTAGGACAGAGTGCACAGGTCTAATAGTGTAGAGGTTATCACATGGGATTTTGACAGTGGTATTTCCCATAACCCAGGTTCGAGTCCTGGTTAGACCTGGGTAGAGCTCGTTGCTTATCGGTTTCCTTTTTCTGATTCTTTTGGCGATTGTTTCTTTCATCGGTAAATATATAGGATAGGATCGGGCTACATAGCGGGTATCATTTTGAAATTAGACAGCCTCTAAGATGATACTGTAAGTCTAACAGAAGTGGAGTCACCCTCCGTCTACTGACATCTAATTTCCGCGGAACACTCCCCGCAAATTGTCCCATACGACACTTGGGCTTTGAGCCGCATCAATACCATGCCATAGGCCTTTGCCTTTGTAATATTCTGCTACAGGACCAGTCTATTCACCAAGACAGTTAGCACTCGAGTACGGGTAAGGAGGAGGCCTAATATGTGTGGGGCACCAAGAAAAGGGTGATGACTCGCCTGGGAATGGTAGGTTTTCAATCTCTTTTGCAATGTCTCGACGTTATCATCTGAACGTTGAATCAGCGGTTCCCCGGTGACGTCGTCAACCATTGGTTTTTTGGGTGGGCTGTCAGGGAAGACCCGGGTTACAGGATGTCAGTCGTAGGCAAGTGCACAAGATGGCTAGAGATTGTCACTAACTTGAATTCGCGATGATACGACCGTCCACTAGCTGGGTGGATTAATCTTCCGGTAATCCGCGAGATGAGTAAACTGTCATCAATCAAGAGCTGAATGACTGAATCCAGTTTTTCCCCCCGCGATTCGAGCATGCCGTCTAATTTCTGAGCTTGAGGAACGGTGCGAGGGAAACCGTCGAGGACAAAACTGCATTTATACTTAGATTGCGACTGTGCAAACGATACCGACCATGCTCACCCGTTTTTGCACGCCTCGTTGGTATCCAGTTCACCCTTGATCATCCCAACCATGACTTCATCTGGGACCTAATTTCTTCTCTCTAAGGCAATTCAGTGTTAAAAATAGTACTCATACTCACCAGACCTCCTTCGTCCATAATCTTTTTCGCTTCCAAACCAAGCTTGGTCTTCTGGGCCACCTGCTCACGCAGCATATCTCCAGTGGCAAGGTGACATATGCAGAACTTGTCACGGATAAGCGGAGCCTGCGTTCCCTTACCTGGAAATTCACTACTTAATCACTTGTCCAGAAAGTAAGCAAAATTCAAAGCGCACCAGCTCCAGGAGGTCCCATTAAAATTGTCCGAAGTTGTGCCGCAGGCGAAGGCTTTGAAGAGGTAGCTTTCCCCTCCAAAGCTTTGATTTTATCATTGAGTTGCGCGACAAGGGATTTGAGGTATTCCAGTTCAGTGTTCATGTTGTTATAATACGGAAAGTCCACGCAAAGACCGAATACAGAAAAACACAACCAGGTTTAACACAACCTTGAGACGAATCCAAAGACCGGAGCGAGGAGACGCAAGCGGTGAGCTAGAGCCTGATGTAACAGTCAGTTTCGAACTGGTTAAGCCTGAAATTGTACACGTATATATTGTGGATGAAATAATTAGGTAAGCTAATGATCGGAAGACGACCGCAGACAGTCTAAAATCCGACCGCCAATCTCAGTCTGACCGCAACAATCCAAACCGGAACAATCCAAACCGGATTCAAACTCATCCACGGCCTACGGGGTTGTCGATTTAAATGCGTCGATAAAACTGACATGAACAGTGACAGTGGGAAGAAAACCTGGGTTTTACAGTACATATCCTTAGCGCCGCGCTAGCACGGCAAATCCCCGACTCTGAACATCTCATTTGCTTTCACAATAATATCTATTAATCTGTATGTCTATCATGAATTTCGAACTACTGTATGTTATGGCTACTCGAGTATATTCCTGACTACTTAAGCAGAATTGGTGTGTAGTTTCTGAATAATTTGAACACCCAAGCCAGGTGCTTTAGTGTGTATGTAGAGCTGTTGAAAATATATCTCCCCTCTTCCATGTATACAAGGCAGTACATGCTGCAATGCAGCAGAATATTATCTTCTTCAACTACATCTGCAAAACATGTATACTCGCCAGAGCAAGGATACTAGCTGGAGAGCACTCTCCAGCAATGAAAGCACCCAAAGCAAAAATCAAAGCCTACTCTGGGTGCTTTTGCTGCTGGGAAATACTCCCAAGTGCTCTGAGCTGCTTTCGGCTATTTAGCTGAACATACAGGTTTTGCAGATGTATGCTTGCCCGATATTATCTCTCTGGATCATCTCTATATCATCAATGCCAACAATCTCTAGAAATAAAAATATAAAAATGCTTCCCCTCTGACAACAGCAAAGTCATCTGCAAAGCCTGCCTCTTCGGCTAATTCTCCGAGAGCAGCTGAGAGCACTTCCCTGTCATGCATCGGCTCTAAACCGCAACCTCCTCCGTTTCCTTCTATCCAAGTAATGCTTCCCTTCTTCTCTCATCCCCCCTTCCTGGGAACCTCCGACGCCACCTCCAGACCTCCCCAAGATTCCTAACTACTCAAACATCCTCCAACCCGACACACATACAGAACCCTCCTAACCGCCAACCCCTTTAAGTATTAATCTCGATTACCTCCCTCAGATTAGCTGCCTCATGTCTCCAGATGTCCTCTTGTTCACTTCCCGTACCTATTTAAGTAGCGCCGCAATGCCCCGAAGCCCCAGCTTGGTATATTTTGAACACACACCCTTTACATAGGTCCAGTCCCTGTCCCTTTGTACCTGCTAACCATACGGAATTCTCTCTACTCTCTATTTCTCTATCTCTGTTTCTCTCTATTCTTGTCTACTGTTTCAACGATCGTCTACACGATCCAATATACGCTTTTACTTCACGTCTAAGCAATCCGAGTGAGTCCCCGAGCTCCCTTGAACGATACTAAAGCTCCCCAACGCCTAACGCCTTGGAGAGCTAACCTCCCCAACACCTCCTCGAGCTCCCCCATTGCTCCCTAAGCTACGGGATCTCGATCTAGGTAATGTCGAAGCCGCTTCCTACGTCGAACTACGTACCGCTTCGCCGTTACACCCTCTCACACTCGAGGACATCCACCCTCGATCCCAGTCCCCAGGAACCTATCCTCCCGGGTGTATATCTTCTCAGGAGCTTAGACCCCCCATACCCAATTCCCATACAACCTATTCAATCCTATATTGACGTTCTAGAGAGTACAACTCCTACCACGCGATACTACTAGGTTCCGTACATCCATCCTCCCTACCTACGCCTTAGGGACCTCTCAGGACCTTACAGGGACCTCCTCCAGGGTCACACCTCTCTGTCTTATCAACTACTAGGTCATTCCTGTCCTCGGTCGCGGTTCCCGTAGCTCCCTTCAAGCTCCAGCCTGCTCCTAGCACGCTACAACGTAAACTCCTTATATCCGAATCCACCCTAAGACCTATTTCGACCCAGGTCTTACATTCCCAGCAGCCAAAGCACCCAGAGCAAGTTTAAAACTTTGCTCTTGGTGCTGGGTGCTGGAGAGCACTCTCCAGCCAGTACCCTTGCTCTGGCAAATATACAGGTTTTGCATATGAAACTTATTACTCGAAATTGCATCATTGTATATGATGTTGATCTCAACATCTGCAAAACCTGTATTTTTGGCTAAGGGTCTGAAAGCAGTCGAGAGCACTTCCCAGCAGTAAAAGCACCTAGAGCATGTTGCTTTCAGTGCTTTCGGCACTGGGATCTGCTCTCAGCCCTTAGCCGAATATCCAGGTTTTGCAGATGAAGGATGGAAAGTATAGTGTAAACTGTGACATCTGTAGTCAGCCAATTGTTGTTGGAAAAGGTGAAGAGTTAACTATTGGGTACAGAGATAGGTATGGCATTCATCTGCAAAACATGGATACTCGCCAGAGCAAGGATACTAGCTGGAGAGCGCTCTCCAGCAACGAAAGCACCCAAAGCAAAAATCAAAGCCTGCTCTGGGTGCTTTTGCTGCTGGGAAGTGCTCCCAAGTGCTCTGAGCTGCTTTCGGCTATTTAGCCGAACATACAGGTTTTGCAGATGTTCCAATGTCTGATGACCTTCAAGAAGAGATTTTGGCATGGAAATGGGCTCTTCCAGTTGCAGAAAGTAGTGGCCATGTATCAAAATGTAGATAGCAGGATAGATCACATCTGCAAAACCTGGATATTCAGCTAAGGGCTGAGAGCAGATCCCAGTGCCAAAAGCACTGAAAGCAACATGCTCTAGGTGCTTTTACTGCTGGGAAGTGCTCTCGACTGCTTTCAGACCCTTAGCCGAAAATACAGGTTTTGCAGATGAACCACTTTGACCTCCCATTCTCTAGTACGTATACGCCGAGATTTATAAACTGTACAGTTCTAGGTATATCACACATCCCGAGTATCCAAACTCCCTCAGTTGTTTTGCTATCAACTGAGGTGAGCTCAATAATGACTACATTGGAATATCATATACTAACATACCATGGTTTAACCTTCATTAACAGTTGAAAGCTTGCTCAAATGAATCAAACAATTATTGATATGTTCTGGTAACAACCAGAGAGGGAGGGACATTCCCACTTAAAGATATAACAGTATCAGACAATGACTGCATACTCACGAAGCAAATATCTAATGACCAGCTATGCAACAAAACCTATTATACTGACCTCACAACATACTATCACACTGAAACAGCAAACATCAATGCGGACGAAAAGCGGGTACTACTATAATTCCCAAGAACTGTCGAAAAAATATACATTGTATGCTATCTTCGGCCGTATAAATAAACAAAACAGGTAATGTTACTTCTGTCGGACAGACAGATGAACCAAATAGTATATTGGTGTCCACTTTAGTGGACAGATAAACCACCCAACTAGGATATGAACTCGTGAACTGTAAACGGACAGACAGATAACCTAATTCATACATGAACTCGGGAAACTTTTATATTCAATACAGTATTTCGGATATGATAACATCACGCATTAACCTCGCATCAATGCAATCTGATCTCACAAAACACAACCGTTTGATCCCTACAAGGACCTCCTCCTTCAGAGTCGGTGACTGTAGAGAATAACGCGTCGAGGAATGTGAACTATACCCTGCCA